TTTGTGAAAACACCTAGCACTGAAACAATAAAGTGTATATAAATTCTGAAAGGATGCTTTTTAAAAGTCGCCTCATTCTGTTAAATTTGGGATTTTCCATGATTTTACTGATAATTCTTATAAGACTCTCTTATAAGTTTTTAAACTATAAATCATTATTTACATTTGACTATTTTTCACCAGATGTGACTGATTACTAAAACACAGTTTTCTAAAAAAATTGTTCTATTTATGGATAATCAAGTTTGTAGTTAAGGCATTAAACACTGTCTTCAATACATTTATTGTAAAGTATATTATATACTAATAGTATTGTGCATCAATGGGGATTAACACAATGTATAGGATTTTATACCTAAAAGGTATAAATATGCCCTCCGAGGCAAATAATACATTACTTGTTTTCTGGATGAAGTGTGATTAATAAAGCCAGCAGCTCCTCCTTGGAAAATTATGGTTTCGTGGGAGGAGCAAAAAGGCAAAATTAGAAAATGATAAGCATACTTCACTAGGGGGAAGGAAGATTAGAGTTTAAATAAAAAAAAAAAGAAAACCAGTTCAGGATCTGGTCTCTTGGAGAGCTTGAAGAGAAAATGCTCTTGTGAGCTTAATTCATTGCATACCCACTTCACTGATAAAGTTACCTTTGATGATGGCATGTCTGTTTGTCAAAGCTGCTGGGGGGAATGATGAAACCCAACTCAGAAAAGGCTTCCAGTTTCACAGGGGGAATATGAGATTGGCTGCTATCTAAGGACAGCTGATATTTATAGGAAAGTATGAAGCAGCCGAGATAGATTGAGTTTTAGGAAGAGCGGATTGTGTTTCTCTGATCACCCCATCCCTACCCTTTCAAATGTGCAGCTCCTACACGAAGCCCTCTCTGTCATGAAACACTTAATCCATGACTCTTCTTTTCAAACTGCCCCTTCTGTCTCCTCTGGATTACATTCTCCCACCTCCGGAGTTGTTCATTCTTCCACAGCACTCCCAATTTCCTGTTGTAAAGCACTCCTCCCTCCTACACTGCCAGTCGCCCTGCCCCTCTCTGTGTTTACTCCTGTCTTTCTCTTTCCCACCTGCACAAACACCATCCATCAAGCCTTGTACTCCCTGTGTTGCTCTGCCCCTGAGTCAAAGCTTTTACAATCAGGGTGTTGTTCAGAGTCAGTTATAAATGTATATTTTCAAACGAATTATGTGATTAAACGCCACTAGAGGGACAAAGTCCTTTATGGTATAATTGATGGGTTTGTGTGCTTCATATTATTTTATTCCACTTGGGGAAAGATATTTTCAGAGTTGAGGAAAATGCAGTCATTTTACCTCCATAAAGTAATGTAGGGTACTGGTCCATTCTCAGAAAAGAATGGAGGAGTCCCTTCATGAAAATAAGTCTTACAGGTAGTTTCTTCGAGAAATTGAGCTATTCAGAAAGCCTTTCTGAGTGGCAGTAAAGTCCCCAAACGTGGGCTAGAAAGCATATATATTTAATCAGTCTTTAGCAAGAGTAGCACCTCCTCAAGCACTTAAGAAAAAGACTGCAGGATAAAGCACAATTTCTTTGACTTCTCAAATTTAGACTTGATTTGATAAATGCTATACATTCCCATTATTATAAAGGAAAAAATGAATATTACCACAGAGAAATAGATGGGTTCTTTTATTTAATTTAGTCTCATCACTTGCTCTTTCTGTGGGACTATCATTCAATCCAGCTCATTAGAAAGAAGACGTACAAGGATTTGTGATAGCTATGGAATTAACCTACGGCATGACTTAGTGTTTTTTGTCTTCCTACAATTCCTCTTATCCCTGCCTTTGACCCATTGATCTTGAAATAGAGTCTTTTTATATAGTTCTATATTTAAGTCCTTTAAAAATCAACATCACTTACCAACACTTGATAATCAGAAACCATTGTTACAGTACAATGTAATAGTTATGGAAGGAGAGCTTTCTCCCTCCTTATATATATGCTACCGAGTTGTTTAGTGACAGTCACAAAATAAACGCCTTGTTCCACGGTAGATGAAGACAGCGCTGTGATCTCCAGCACAGACTCCAGTGGAAAGAAATGATTAGGTCCTCTTTAGGGCTTTTGTTATAATAATCCTCAGAAGAAGGAGTATAATTTTCATGTCATTTCTTATTTATGAAAGGCTCTAAACTTTCAAAATCTCATCACTTTCAACCTTAACCTTTTCGGTCTCCTGGAGTTTGATTGGCTGCATGTGCACCTCTTCCACGGGGCTACAGAAGTGGGACAAGTAGAAAATACAGATGGCTAGTGAGTCACACTTTGGGACATGAACAAGGTCAAAGTTGTACAGTTTATTGTTATCTTATAGAGAATATATAGGACATGAAAATTCCTATGCTATAGTCTTGTGACAAAGAACTATAAATAATAAGCAGTATAACAGGAATATTCCTGTGAAATGATTAAAACTTAGAATGGGAAATACTTAACTCACCCCCACTCCCATGCAAAGAAAGGACTCTTCGTCAATGTTTCTCTTTCCCTTTCCCATTTAGGAGCTATTTCAGCCCCAGAAAAGAAAGGGAAAACATACATGTTCAGGAGTGTTGAACACATTGTGTTATAAGCACTTTCCAAAATGAACAGGATGTTGTGGGTTGGGGATTAATATTGACCCATCTTGCACCAGAATAATTTTAAAAGACCAATTTTAAGGCAAATTGTCTGTTTGAAAAGGGATGTTTTGCTGTCATCGAGGACCTGTGATAGCAAAATAATATAGTATTTCTATACAGAAGCCATGAATAAAAGAAATTACATTTCCCTTGCAGTTAACAATAGGATCCCAGGCTTATTGGGTCCTTGCATTTACCGATACCTGTTCTATGGGGACACGGCTGTATATAAACTAAAGAAAATATACTTATTCTGCACCACAGAGGCATAAATAAAACCTCAATGCCTCAATTTGCTAACAGTTATTCTGTTGCTTACTATAGGCGTTCAGTGTCTAGAAGTGACATAGAAAATAAAGCACATACAGGGTGTTAGGAAAGAGAGCAGAGGGTTGAACAAGAGCAGCCTGTGTTGGTGGCACTGTCTGGTTACAGTGAATTTGTCACGCGTCGCTGTAATTGAGTAAAGTCTTTCTGAGCATTTCTCTGAGCACTTCCTTCGAGAAAGGAAAAAGTATCCTTGCTCGGCTGCCACTTACCCCACCTTTTGGCAACTCTCCAGAGGCGCAGCACTGCCATTGACCCAACAACTTGATTCCTTGTCAAAATATTTAACATCTGGCTCAAAAGACATTCTTGATGACTCTAAGCATGCTCAACTCCTCTGTTCATTAAGGCTGAAAATTCAATAAGTGTTTGGTACGCTGGGACTGAGCTACCTCCTAGTGAACAGCTGTCAGATGATTTGCTGAATCCTTCTGTTCACCCACCACAGTGAATTGTTGGAAGTGCGCCAGCTTCGGGAGGTACACAGCCTGGGGAGTTTTAGCAAGTTCCTCCTAAGCCTTGCACCACCACCACCTATAAATTTAAAACAACCTATTAGGAAACAAATGGAGACAAAGAAACTGCCCGGATCCCAGTGTCCTTTCTACCAGGGCAGCAAAGAACCCCTTGCTGGTGCTGAAAACACAGTAATGCTTTTGCTTGTAGGCCACGTGCCTTTTGGATCTTCAGGTTTCACCAGCCTTCCCTCGACTCCTTCCACCACCTCCATCATTAGCCCTGGGCATGCAAAATGCTCATTTGAAGAATTGTCCTCTAAAGATGTTTCTAATCTAGTGGCTGTTCAGACACAGGGGCACTGTGTTTTAGAGCAACCGTGTGAATTAAATTATACGGTGGTCGGAAGGGCCATTCTCCCGCCTCGCACGCTCTACCCACATTTTTGTCACTTGAATTTGCAAAAGCTCCCACCTGGGCATTTGGATAATCTCCCAGAACCATCGCTGTGATGGGGCGCTGAAACCCACTGCGAAGGGTACAAGTTGCAGCACTGGAGGGAAAAACTCCACACGAGTAAAATATTTTCATTTGCATTTATAAGTCTGAGCATATACTAGCCCTTTGTTCAGAGAAGGGGTGAAGGGATCAGCTCTGCTCTACCTAGTCCCTGGACTATATATATATATATATTTAATTCTCACCGAGGATATTTTTTCCATCTATTTCTAGGAAGAGTGGGAGGGAGGGAAGACGGGGGGAGAGAGAAACATTTACCAAAGCGAGAGACACCACCCTGACCGGGCAACCTGCAACCGAGGCATGTGCCCTTGACCCAGGAATCAGGAATCTAACTTGAGACCCTTTGGCCCCCAGGCTGGCACTCTAACCACTGAACTGACCAGGGCAATTCCTGGACCTCTTAAGCCAGCCTTATATATACCATGTACTTAATAATCATAAATTTTGAGAAGCAAGAGCTAGTTCATGCTTCAAACCATGGCCTCTCCCATCTGTCCCACGTCTTTTCTTTGGTGACCTTTCGGCCTGCTTGTCCCTCTCACTGTTAAGTGTTGGCCCTGTCTCTCTCACCTCAGTCCCATCCAGCTACTTTTCTGTCGGTGCATTTTTTTCTATTTTCTACCTTTATGGATCTTATCTTAATTCAGCCATCCTGTTCTGAGCAAACCCCATAACCTTAAGTAGGTAGGAATTCCGCACCCTAGACTTGGCCAAGTCCAGAAAGATCCCAACGGAGCCCCTACACAGTGACACCAGCTGTAAGCCAGCCATGGGGATCCAAGTAAGCTCCTTAGAAAACTTTGGTACATTACTGATTTAATTTCCTTAAAGTAGAAAACAGAATCCAAGCTTTAGGCTCCCAGAGTGGTGTTTCTAAGAAATGATTCACAATACTTGCAATTTTAGGATCTTTATTGACTGTCCACGTATGTAATGCACATTAGTGCTAAACAGAGGAAGAAGGCAGGGGGTGTGAGATATAAAAACCAGTTAATAGCTTTCCTCTTTCCCCTCCGCTTTTTCATTTGCCTTTTCTGTCATAATCTCTTCTCTCTGTTTGAGGATGCAGGAGGTGGCATGTCGCTAGAAGGGAAATTGGGGAAATAGGAAGGCAGCGGGGGCCGGTACATGGCGGGGGGAGCGAAAGGCATGGGTATGTTGAGGAATGGGTGGGTCCTCGGGGGCCCGGGGGGCATGAAGCACGGGGGCCCGCTGGCGAGCCACCCTAAACGAGCGACACCGGGGGGCACGGTGATGGGCCTGGGCCAGTTATCCACGGGGTGCCACGGGCCTCCGGGCGGGAAAGACACCTGAGCCAGCCCGTCGTTGCCAGGCAGCCTCATGTTCCCGGGGGACAGCTCCATCATCACCCCTGATCTAATAGCGGGGACAGGTGGGGCGCCTCTTAATTCTGGGCCCCCGAGTGGAAAGAACCCTTGACCCCGTGGCAAAGCCCCGTGGAACTTGGCGTTACTGCCACCTCTGTCCCCGCCCTCGGTGCTCACCCCTGCGCCCTGTATCATCCGCGAGGGAGGGCCGCCGGGGAATTTGGGGGACACATTCGTAGAATCGTGTCCCTTCTGCCTCCAGCCTGCCAGCCCCTCTGAGCTATTGGCTTCTGCCGTTGCGGGGGACTCTTTCGCAGCAGCAGGTTGTGGCCCGTGGGGGAGCTTGAGGGCTCGCGGGCTGTCGACAGGCACGCAGGAGACGCTTCTGTCCCTGTCCCAGGGGCCCTTCAGCGGCTCTCTTCCCAGGTCGGGCGGCACGTAGAAGGGGCGCCGCAAGGGCAGCCGCGGTTTGCCCCAGGTCGCCGCGCGGTCCCGCGTGGCC